AACCAAAATTGAATGCAGTAACGATACCCTGTTCCTAGCACGTGCTTCAACCACTTTGTGCATACATTTTATTGCATGATGCAATTCAAGAAGTTTTATTTGTGGGTTACTACAATGTGAGCGATAAAATTTTTTTGTGGGCACAGCACACCATCAACAAGCATGTGGATTCATAAGCCTTTTGTTTGCTTCATGCAGCTATGCATTGGTCTAGCTGCATCTAATGTGCAGTCGCATCCAGCTATCTACACGGGATTGTGCCGGCCATATCTGGCTACCTATGAAGGGTGGCCCCTAATTGCATCGGTTTATTCGGTGACGCTGGTGCAGCCTATGTTGCTTTGTGATGACGCCGCTTTGCTCCAACATGGCTCTCTTCCTGAGGCGCCACTTGTTCATCACGTGACGTCGGCACGCTGCTTTATAAGGAATCAACCCCAGGCTTTCAGTTTTTGTCGGCACACCAGACCATCAACAAGCATGTGGATTCATAAGCCTTTCCTTTGCTTCATGCAGGTCAGTGACTACTATTGTACAATTAAGAGTGATTATCGTGGTCTTATGGTCTTGCCGTGCCTCCAACGGTGCATCACTATTGTCAAAAATTTGTTTTATGTGTGCTTGCTCGCGCTGCGTGGGGACGTTGAGTTCAATCCCGGCCCCTCCAACGGCAGTAACTGCTCTGTTGAATCCATGCTCAAGGAATTATTATCAGGGCAAAGTAATCTGACTAAGGAAATAACGGCGCTTAGGGAACAACAGGCTAGCATGGAAAGACTGGTGGCTGATCTTGGAGCTAGGTTTTGTGAGCTAGAAAACAAAGTTTCTCGTGTTGATGACCTCGAACGAACTGTTAAATCTATGGAAGCAAAACTGACTGACATTGAGAATAGGAGCAGGCGATCAAATATGGTGGTATTCGGTATCTCTGAAGACCCGAATGAAACAGAATCGGTCCTTAAAAGTAAAGTTGTCGATGAAACGTTCGCTGCAAAGATTGGCATTCATTGTAAATCCATCGGTAAAATACGACTTGGGAGGCCGGGCAAACAAAGACCAGTCATAGTATATTTTCAGGACTATAACGAAAAGCAGCTTGTACTGAAAAATGCTTATATATTGAAAGGCTCCAATATATCGATCCAGAATGACTATTCTCGAAATACACTGATAAGGAGAAGACACCTATGGAACAGCGCAAGGGCTGAGAAAGAGCAGGGAAAAAAGTTACCCTAATTAATGACAAGGTTCGATTGGGCAATAAGCTTTTGTTTTGGGATGAACAGAAAAACTCGAGAATACAAATTCAAGTTGACCAGGGCACTTCGAGGAATGAGTGACGCACACCCTTAGCACCTAAAGGATTGCGTGTCCTAAACATTAATGCTCGAATCATTGTTAACAAGTCTTAGAATCTTGAATCACTTATCTGGAGTTACAGTCCTCACGTAGTTGTTTTAACTGAAACGTGGCTGCATGACGATGTTGATAACACAGCTGTTTTCCCTCCATCTTACCAGACCTTTCGGCGCGATAGGTCTTCGAGGGAGGCGGAGTTGCAGTTTTGGTTGAAGAAAACATATATGCTGTTCTCTTACGTCAAGCGAATAACTTAAAAACTGTATCATTGAAACTTACTTGCTGGGGTAAATAATTTTTGTTGTTTGCGGTGTACCGAGCACCTAACTCACCTGCCCAATTTCTTTCTGACCTTTGCGGACATATTGCATCCTTTAAAAGTAGCAATGTGATGCTTATAGGTGATTTTATTCTCCCAGGCATTGATTGAGAGAACTCGTCCTTCTTTGTCGAATCCAAGTTGCACGTGAACTACCTACGCAACATCATGCTTTATCATAACTTGCAGCAAGTTGTCAAACAACTGACACGTATTCACGATACGTCAGCGACGATTCTCAATCTTATTTTTGTAAGTCAATCAATTGAAAAATTTTCTGTCTTTGTTGAACCTGGCATTTTGGACCATAAACTCGTGTATTTCACATGCTTATTTAAACCATGTGACTTCATTAAAAATAACAAAATCACTATTAAAGATTATTTTAGAGCCAATGATGAAAGTGTTTTAGATTATCTTGAAATATGTCTTGACAGTTTGCAAGGCCATGATATTACTGCACTTTGGAACCGTTTTAAAGAAATTATCAATCATTGCCTCAACAATTTCAGCCCGAGCAAACTTAAACGTACTTCTAAAGCTACTCCCTGGATGACAAGAGATATCTTGCAACTTAAAAAAAAGAGTTAAGCGCCTAAGACAGCGGTGTGCTTCACATGAAGTTTTTCAATAAAATGCAAGATAAGTTAAATCTAAAAGTGAGACATGCTAAGCGTTGGTACTTCCGGCATACGCTACCAGAGTTTATTCACTCCGCGCCACAAATAGTTTGGGGCTTCCAAAAAAAAAAAAAATGGAACCAGGAAATTAGCCACATTGTACACGAGGGAATCATCATTAACGAAAAGCACAACATTGCACAATATTTTAATGAATACTTTCACGGTGTTTTTTCGAGTTTTGATGCTGCTACACTTCATAACCGTAGACCATACTTCCCTGCTCCCGATGTATCAATGCCAGGTATCGTTTCTATGCTACTTAACCTTAAAACTAAATCTTCCTCAGGTCCAGATGATATACCCAATGTTTTTCTGAAAAGATATGCAGAAGCGTTAGCACCTTTCATAGCTCGTATATTTCAAATGTCCCTGTCTTCAGCTACACTGCCTAATGATAGGCTTTTGGGCACGTGTTGTACCCGTACTAAAGAAAGATGACCCCACACTACTAACAAATTATCGCCCTATATCACTAACCTCATCATGTTGCAGACTACTTGAACATATCATAGCTAAGGAAATTAATAAGTATTTAGAGGATAACTGCATACTGTTGTCCTGTCAACATGGCTTTCACAAAGGTTTCTCTACTATCACACAGTTAACAACAGTTGTTCATGATTTTGCTAGTGTTCTTGATGGGTCAGGCCAGGTTGATGTAATATTTCTAGATTTCAAGAAAGTGTTCGATCTTGTATTACATAGCAAGCTTATTACTAAACTAGAATCAATTAATCTTCCTGCTTATTTAGTTAATTGGGCGGCTGCCTATCAGACCAACCGCAGTCAGGTCGTTTCTATTAATGGGCACTCATCTGAGAAGCTACCAGTCTCATCAGGTGTGCCTCAGGGCAGTGTCCTTGGCCCCTTATTATTCTTAATATTCATTAATGACATAACCAACGAAATTCATTCCCCTATTCAAATTAGATTATTTGCGGATGATTGTCTACTTTATAATAAAATTAAAAGCCATGAAGATCAAGTATTGCTCAACAATAAATCTCCAAAGTATCCTTTCTTGGTGTCGAGCATGCAGTTAAATTTCAGTAAAAGAGTATATATGTCAAAAACTACAAAGAAATCTAAAAAAATTTCTTTTGGGTACAAGCTGGGTTCTGAAATGCTTGCAGAAGTGAAGGAGTACAAGTACCTGGGAATCACAATAACTAATACCCTAAATTGGAATATGCACATTACTAACATATGCAACTCTTCGTTCAGAAAATTTTGTTTTCTCAGACATAAACTAAAGAATGCATCCTCTAGTACAAGGCTAACGGCTTATAAATCACTAATTCGGCCTAAACTCGAATACGCCATCATTGTCTAGGATCCGTATACAAAAATTAATATCGATAGACTGAAAATGATTCAGCGTAAAGCTGTCAGGTTCATTTATTCTAAATTTCGTATTAGTGACTCTCCCTCTAGTTTAATGATGCAGAATAGTATTCAAACACTACTCCTGTGCAGAAAAATACAGAGACTAAAATTCCTGTTCGCACTGAAAAATAAACTCTTTAACATAAACCCAAGTCCTTATTTATAGTCGCTTACTGCTCGATCAACACGGCATCCTCATGCTGACTCTTCAACACCCTATCGGACACGCACTAATCTTTTCAAATATTCCTTCTTCCCAAGAACTATCACCGACTAAAACAACCTACCATTTCCCCCCTTACATAACGACGATTTCTTAGAACATGTTACCATTTGAACTTCTGACCATGATGTACCAATTTTTATAGCTTCATTATATGTTATCCTTCTGTTCCTTGATCCTTAGTTTAAAAAGCCAATGTCACTTGCCTTATCTCATGCCTCTTTGTGTATATATGTCTGACAAGCTTTTACCACATGGTCTTATTTCAGTGTGTGAAAACTTTTTGTTTAATGTTTCTACTTTTGTTGCTTCACCTTGACGTACCACTTTTAAAAAAATTATGTAGTTTTCGCCTTATTTTTTGCTGCAGTTTCTTTTGTACACATGCCAGTGTTATTTTTTTGCCGAGTATGCGATTTCTCTGCCTTTATTTGCTTTGTTTGTGTCCTTTTGCTCTTCCTGCTTGGGCCAACAGTATTTTATAAATAAAAATAAATAAATAAAAAGTAAGAAGTGGCTCGTGTCGGTGAGACTTTTATGACTGCATTCTGCACAGCATGTTTTAAATCGCGAGAAATTATGCACATGAAATGTTTTCAAACTTTCTATCCACCCCCTACGTGGTCTCAAGAAAATGGGTGCAGAAATATAGCAAGAAAATACGTGCAGTAATATGGCTAAGGCAAGACTGGTCATTGATGCAGGCAAAAATGCCACAAGAACGTAACAAACCCACGGCACTCAAACCTCAATTTAACAATTATCAGTTACAACAAAGTAAATGAAAAATTGTCTTGCAATAAATCTAGTGTTAGTAATAACCTCCATAATGAATTTTCGGATATAAGAAAATTATTTAGTGTTAAATGCAACTTTGCTTTAAAGAGCTTCGAGTGTATTCCAAGAATTAGGGAAACAAGGGTCTGGGCAAACTGTTTGCAAGCAAATGAAGAAACAGCCTCAAGAGGAGTTGACTTATTGAACTGTGACGACCAAGTGAGACATAATGAAGGTGAAAAAAAAAAGTGTCTGATGGAACTTACATAAACATCTTTATTACACAAAACCGTACGGCATCCGTACACACGACCAGAACCACTTCAACAAAGACTCTGTGCCACAGCGTCAGTCCTGCAATACACGATGCCAAACACCACACCCGGTGAACATGGCGAGAACTGGTGTGCACGTCTTCCCTGCGCATTATTAATAGCATTGTGTTTATTTCACTGTTTTAGTTGGAGTGGAGGACAATGTTGTCATCCCAGTCAGGTTAAACTAACACACTTCATAATGAGGCAAGGAGAAAAGATGTGCATGGGAGAGACAACCTGGCCGTCCTTAGTTTGTCTTCGTGGAACCCTCGGAGTATGGTGGCGGTGGTCCCTCCTAGAATTGGGAGAAAATGGTCGCCATCAAGTGGGAAAGTAAATTAGAAGAATGAATTTGGTTTAGTGCAAGAAACAAGCTCACAATGCTATGTCGCAAAGCCAAGACAGATGGTCCCAGAAAATTCCCAGTAGAAGCACAAAAGCCAATTAATTAACTCTGCTGCAAGATTCTGTTCAATTGTGGGTGATGTATATTGGCCCAAGTGGCTTCTGTTTAAATGAGTGCTTTGATCATTGTTGGGGTTTACCATATTTACTCGAATCTACCGCGCCCTCGATTCTAACGCGCACCCAGTTTCCACGACGAAAAAAAAAAGTAAGGCATTGATTGCAACGTGCACCCATTTTTCTCGTTGGCCCGCACGATCACACCACTCGGGAAAACGACTCCTTTCGGGAGCGTCTTCCGTTTAAATATGAGGTGCGGGGGAAGCTTGTGCCTATCTGACGTGCAACGGAGCATTGCCGTCACTCTAGTTTTACCGTGGCCCGATGTCAGCACGGCAACTTGCTTCGCCCCCTTCTTCTCGACGGTTGTGGTGCCAGGCATGTCGAAGTAAAGAGGCGTCTGATCGGCATTCCTGATTTGCCCAAGCAGGTAGCTGTTGTTGTGCCGCAAGTTTAGGACGAACCTCTGAAAACTGATAAGCTTTTCTTCGTACTCCTCTGGCAAGTTTTGGCCCATGCCCGTTTGCTTTCGGAGGGAAAAGCCTAAAGTTAGTTAGCCTAAAGCCTAAAGTTAGTTAGCCAACACCTGCTCGCTTTGAACTGGCTCCGCGTTAGCCCCTTTTCTAAAGCTAACTGTATAGCCTGCACTTGCAGCAGTTCTGTCGTCACGGGCCGCTGTGCCGCTCGCTGCTCAAGCACTCACTCGGCGAGCAGCTCTTCAATTCGCGGAAACCAACCCTGCTGTGGTCCACTGAAGCCTTTGCGTGCATCTTTGCTGTCGACAATCTTCTGCTTTTGTTTCCGCCAGTCCCGCACGCACGTTTCGGAAACTCCGAACGTGCGCGATGCAGCCCGATTTACGTCCGTTTCGGCACACGCGAAGACTTTTCTTTTAAAAGCAGCATCGTGGTGCCCTCGTCGAGTTTTTCAAGTCGGCCCTTCCATGCTGTCGATGCTAATGAACTACAAGATTACAAACTCCTCTGCACACGTACGAAGTGCCGCACATGGGAAACACATAGGCAGAAATGGCCGACGCGCAATGCCGACGCACGTCGGGGGCGGGCATTTTGGAAATGTCGATGGCAATAGAATGACCGTATTCATTTTTTTTTCGAACTCGATTCTAACGCGCATGCGATTTATGAACTCGCTTAACCGGAAAAAAAGGTGCGTGTTAGATTCGAGTAATTACGGTAACATCCCAAAACCACGATATGAGAAACGCTGTAGTGGAGGGCTCCAGAAATTTTGACCTCCTGGGGTTCTTTGACAGCACCTAAATATAAACACATGGATCTCAAGCATTTTCACTACCATTGAAAGTGTGGTCACCATGGCCAGGATTCGACCCTGCGACCTGCAAGTCAGCAATTGAGTGCCCTAGCCACTAAACCACCATGGCGAGTAAATGGCTGCTTTAGAGACTAAAACCTCACAACCAGTGTAAACTGGGGCAGTTTATCATTGGCAAGCCCACATTCTCCAAAAGACAAAGGGCCAAGGGAACATGAGGATTCACAAGTATGCTCTGTTCATTCACACAGCAAACTGTTGCATCTACGTATCTTCTGTTAGCCTGCATAGTTTAGATTAGCTACTAGTTGAAAATGTGGCAACCTGCTTCGCACAATAATTGATGGTAGCACATATGATCACAATCAAATTCACACACCGCGGTTGTGGTAAATGACACGCACTGTTTTGACTCTGTTAGTGCCAAATGCACACATAATTTCGGAGCACCTTGCTGTCAGCCATTGCCTGGCGGTTATCGCCTGTCACCGCGCAGAGAAGTTTTTGGATAACTGGAGCCCATTGAACCAAGCTGAATTCAGACAGGGAAGTTGGTCTCAGACCAAACTTGGTATCACCAAGATTCGACAGCACTTTTAACGCTCTGTACAATGCATTGTTTATAATCAAGAGAATGTTAAAGGGACTGATGAGCAAAATTACCTATTTTCTTTAATGCAATAGAAAGAATGCCAATCTTTGTTTGCAGCAAATATGAACACATGCTGCAAACAGAGCATAAAACTTGAATTTCCAAATGATGGGTTTCAATGACACACTTTGTGTCTAAAATGTGAGACATGCTTGTTGTGACACTTTCTTGTGGCATCACATTTTCTTGGGCAATATTCACCTGATGAGGGAAGATGAATGAACAAAAGTTTTTAGTGACCAAGGTCAATACGTCACCTCTGCAATGCGTCATTATCCTCATTTCGGCCTAGCAACTAGGTCCACTGGAAGCACTTTTTCTGCAAGGGTAGATATGTTAAGCGCGGAATGACGAGGCTGGGACCAGGAGTGACACACACAAGTGCTCACTTTCAAGAATGATTTATTGGAAGCTGGATCACCGAACAAAAGCTCTGTATACTCAGGCAAGCGCAAATATGCAGGCGTGGAGGAATGACAGTTGTTTTTTGAATACCTGTAAAAGTGACACTCTTACAACCACACCCTACCTACACAAGATTGCTTAAAAAAAAAGTGTATGGAAACATCGTCGTCATTCGTGCGGCTTCGAACAAGCTGGGAGGCTCGGCAACCCAACTGCTCACAAAGCATGTGGCTCAATGTCCCTGTGCAGCGCAATGCAGGTGTCGTGTACCAGCTCGTGTGGGTCTTTTTGAAGAGTGCTTGCCCAAAATGAAGCCATGTGGTACAACTGACTAGCATGCGTGAGCTAGGCAAGGAAGGTGTCATCATTATTGTGAAGGCATCAAGGAATAACAATCCCATTTTTCCTGTACTGCATTTGCACGATTTGTAGGTCACCCCATTTTGTCGTTAATTGAAATTCAAAGTTGGAGGGTTGACCTAGAACCGAAAGATAGTTTCGGTTGTAAAGTCTCCCTGAAAATAAACCCTACAGTATTCCATAAAAGCAAGCTTTCAAGCAATGCTATGAAGCAACTTTGGCACACTGTAATTTGACTTTATTTTCAATGTAAATGAGTTTTATTTTACAAAATGTGCTTGTTCTCCCTTTTTTTTTTTTGCCGCCTGATCTTAGAAGGGTCGACAGACAATCGTGTAAATACGGTACATGTTCAGTAATCTAACCCTTTCAGTCATGGTGTGTGCAAATGGATGCGCCAGCTTCAATAGCACGTCACGCACTGTGCGTTTCATCAAATTGCTTGATACTGGATAAGCAGATTCGTGCAGGCCTTCTGAGTGGACAACTGGTGATTATTTATTTTGTTACGCTGTATGTTGCTGCAGTGTATCACTTTTTTAGATGCACTCCCATGTTCGACGATTCTTCGACGTGAGGCATTATAAGACCAACGTGAAAAGCATCTCTTTTCTTCACTCGAAAGAAATCGAACCAAAAAGCAAACTGTGCGTGCATTTCGGGCCTAATAGCGGATTCGTTTTAGGTAAGTATTGAAGCTGACTGGTGGCAGAATAATTAGATAATTAGTTACACACACATTAATTTAATTACCAGAACTGACACAAAACAACGTTTTTCAAAATTTCCTTACTTGGAATGTAATACTGAGCGCCTTGGAATGATGACAAGCAAATTTGACACGCTACTGACAGCGCATCATAATTTGTGACTGAAAGGGATAAAGCTAGTGTCCCATCCTCGTCATTTCAGCCTTTTTCTCTCTGTAGACTGCAGGAGGCTTCCTTTGGCTACATCCGTTGCGCCACGTCATAGGGTGAACAAAGCCAGTGTGTTTCAGCCTCGAGGAGCACCCCATACTTTCATGCTTGTCAAGTTGTCTTAGGAGCACTTGGAGGTCTCCTGAGCGAGAAGCCGGAAAGTTTGACATACAGGAGTGGACGATGTCTTTTTCAGGAGCAGTCTTTCATGGAAGGCTATCAATAAGCCCTTCACTGAGCTTATCTCCTTGAGCACCAACAGAAGCAGGGCTCGGGGATACATGGAGGCACGTTGCACACACGGTCACAAGAAGCGCTGCATCATAACATGTATGGCCAACGCCTTGAACACACACAAAAATTACAGCTACAGTAATTGGAGAGGGACATTGGATTTTATGTATTGGCACATTCAATTTTCTTTTGACTGGTTTTGTATGGAAAGCTAGCCCCGCGCTTTTGGTTGTGCGTACAGAAGAAAACACTAAGAGATTGTCAGTGTTGTGTGCCTGTGAGGCAACACCTTTTCACTAAATGTAGGGGCGTGCATATATTCCATCTTTCAAATATTCTTCTGATAGTGTGTGGTAATTTTTTCGATTCACACTGAAATTTTGACTATTTGAATAATAAGGACTTCCCAAAGACAAATACAGTCCGCATCCAATCGACAATGGTCCCATCAAATTTTTTTTATGCTATAAACCATGACACTCTCGCATCGCAATGAAGCTGCCTTTAAGACAGCTATGGTAGCAAATGTATTGACTAAAAAAAACGCTGATTTCAACATGGACATGCACTGCACCATTACAATGACCTTTTTAATATGCTTCCCCACATTACACAGTGGTATCATGGCAAACCTGCCTTTAGAGCTTCACTACAGCCATAAACGGATGGTCTCGCAAAAGCACTGGCTCGAAACTACGCACATAGGTAGGGGCTTTATTTATTGCAGTTTCAAACAAAAAAAAATATCCGGAAAAAATCGAGAAAGATTTTTAGGATCCAAAATTTCAGATGTTTTTAGACAGTGGTGTCTTTCTACCGGGTAGATGAGCAACTTGAAAGTAGCACGCCCTTGTCCACCAATTCAGTTGGGCCTTCAAACAAGTTGAAGAGGGCAAAGGTAGACTGTGTTGTCAACACCAAATTAGCTGTACCACATGTAAATAAGTATTATTCAGTCTTTGCAATGTCTCATCCATCATAAAACAACTAGAAAACACCATCCCTCCAACACTTAACCAACTTAACTAAAAGAAACACCTTCATGTTCCTGTCTCATAAGAATGTGCTTATAGTAACAGTTCTTCTGTAGTTTTCACTTCAAAGTGTTTGAAAAATATTACGCAAATATTGGACAACTATTGAAAAAATATTCTGTTCCATTTGCACTCAAACATTATTATACTTTGCACAATTAAGAAGGCTCAACTTTTTAAAAAGTCGCTTATGTACAGCAGTTTCTGCGTGGCAGGGGTGTAAGGACTTGATTGTTTCAGAGACAGACCCGTGCTGTTCGGTGAGTTGTCTCATGCCAGTAGAACGTTTACTTTTGAAGTAAGATGACATGCGAGGAACCAGCGGAAGACTGCTTGAAATTACGAGGAGTACCATGCGGCTACCCGCCGCACTCACCGGTGGTGCACTGGCCTGGTCAAAGGATGGCGGGGCTGCTGGCACATACATAGAACCGGTTTTGGCCGGGTTGTAGTAAGCAGAGTTCTGCGATGCCTCGGCTGCCTTGGCCATGGCTGCTGCTGCTGCGAAACAAGACCAAGTGTCGGGCTTCCATTGAAATAAAAGTACCCCAGGGTAGAACCCCAATATATCCACATAGCCACAATAATGAACGAGGTAGTAGTGGGGCCACTACAGACGAAACTCCTTATTGAGCAAATTTGTGCAAGCAACCTATGCTGCACACTCATAGCAGCAATCAAAGTCATTGGCAGGCAAAGAAAATAATTTTAAACATGTGTCACAGTTGCCCTGCGGAAATATTCGAATAAATACTGTAGTATTCAAGTTTCCCATGATTCAAATTTATGCTAGAGAAAATTTCAAAGTATTCGAAACGAATAAATGAATGCATATTAGTCCACATGTAAATGTGGTTTCACTGCAGCAAAAGGGTGCTAAGCCGTGAAAACACCAATCCAGAAAAAAATGAGCCCTGCCGCAAAGTACCACTTCAAAACTGAATGAACATTACACCCTTACACAGATTTATCATTTTTCAAGTTTATATTGCTGATGTACTAGCTTATATGCTCTAAGTAAAGTGAATTTTAAAACTTAAGTTTTACAAGTAATTACTCTTGTTTCATTGAAAGTCCAATCATGACTATTAAAGGTATTTCCACTTTTTCTGAACCAAAAAGAATGGCATTTGTACAGGTCTTGCTTGAATTAAAGAAATATACTGTGTAGGTTTTTCGATAAACATGCTTTTTTCTTTCTTTACAGAATGTGAGACAAATATGTTATACGAATTTGATTCGAAATCATTAGAATGGAATCACCATTCATTCGGAATTCTAGACTTGTGCAAACAGTGAATTTTTCCTTCAAAGCGAATTTGAAGCAAATAATGATCTTCGTTGAATAATTTCAAATCGAATTCGAATAATATATACATCGCATGCTAAAAAGAAAAATGGGTGTGTTTGTCATGACCTAACTAACCTGCTCAATATTTTTAAAAATTTGAAACAAGGCCTGAGCAAATGCCATTTTCTTGCATCAAAGGAAGTGGAAACAACTTTGAATAGTAGTAGGGTATGACTTTCAGTAAAATGCTAGTAACAGCCTGTAAAGTATGTTACGTTTAAAAAATTGCTATACCAAGAGCATATAAGTTGGTATAACAAGCTTTTAAACTAAAAAAAACTGAAAAATGTATCAATATGAAGAAACATCTCCATTTAAC